ATCTGGAAGTCTTAGTGTTAGGCCAGTTGTCAATCAGTAGCAGGAATGAGGAAGTTTGCTTTGGCAAAGAGAGTCAGAAGTCACATTAGTTTTCATTGGAATGGTCCTGTAATGACATGCACATTCCTATTTGATTTCTCCATTGGATCCTCATAGCAGTTCTCTGGGATCAATGCTGTCATTGTCCCCATTTACAGATGAGGAGACTGAGGTTGTCCTATAAGGGACTTGCCTGAAACCTTGTAACTAATGAGTAGCCATGCTAGAACTTAAAGCTATGAAGACCCTGGAACTGTTGTTATTTTCGTTCCCTGCTTCAAGGATCGAAAAATTTAAAAATCCCCCAAATGGCAGATTTACAACAGAGCTGAAAGCAGAGAAGACTGTGGTTATGAAAAGAATGGACACTAACAGTTGGATCTCCTAAGGCGAAGGTGGGCTGGCAAGTTCACTCAGAAATGGAATTGATGGTAGGATGCTGTAGAGGAATTGTCCCAGTTGATTCCTGCCTGAATTGGGCCTGTAACAGGGAGATGTTCACTTGAGCACTCCTGCCAATTTTTCTCATCCTCACACTATTGCACGGTCTTCTAAATATCTGGTTACAAAACTGGCCAGCACTTGGAAGGCTGAGGCAGGATGTTTCTGAGTTCAAGGCTAGCTTAGTCTACATAGTGAATCATCGCTCAAAAATTAGAAAACGGGGGCTGGAGAGATGGCACAGTGGTTAAGAGCACTGTTTGTTCTTGCAGAAGACCCGGGTTCAAATCCCAGCACCACATGGCAGCTAACAACTATAACTCCAGTCCCAGGGGATCTGACAGCCTCTTCTGACCTCCAAGGGCATTGCACGATACAGGTGCACTTACCAACATGCAGGCAATACACACATACACATAAAAATAATAAATAAATTTTTTTAAGTTAAAAAAAAATAGAAAATGGCTGAGCATGGTGGTACTTGGGTGTAGAAGCAGGCAGATCTCTCTCAGTTCAAGGCCAGCCTGGTCTATATAGCACATTCCAAGACAGCCAGTGAAACCCTATCTTTAAAAAAAAAACAGCTGAAAAACTGAGTTATTCCTTGGGATAGTCCTTTCCCCCTCCCTCCCTTCTTTCTTTCCTTAAGAAAGTTTTATATATGTAAAGTTTATAACTTCATATATATAACTATAAATATATATAGCATAAGTATATAAATAGAAACACAATAGATATACATATATGTTATAAATTTTATAAATGTATATAAATATATGACTTCATTTATTTTTGTGGTACTGGGAATTGAACCTAGGGCCTCATGCGTGCTAGGCAAGTGCCTTACCACAGAGTTACATTCCCAGCTATGTTTGATTAATTGATTGATTGACAAGATAGCCCAGACTAGCCTTGAGCTTGCTCTATAGTAAGACTGGCCTTGAACTCCCTCCCTGTCCTATTGCCTTTACCTCCAGGATTGCAGGAATGCATCACCACTGCTACCACCACACTGAGCAATATATATTAATTTAGAAGATAAACTGTACTCATAAGAATTTGAGTGTTTGTTTGAGCCAGAGTCAAATACAGCCCAGGCTGGTCTTGAACTTGCTTCTAGTTTAAGATGAACTTACGTTTAGGTACTCCAGCCTTCATCTCCTGAGTGCTGGGATTGGATTACAAACATATGCTACTGCCATGCCCTGTTTATGCAGTGCTGGGAATCAAACCTAGAACTTTGTGCATGTTAGGCAAGCACTATTCCAACTGAGCTATAACAATAGCCCACAAGTAAAGACTAAAGAAGCAGGAAAACAATTACCAGGTAGTTATAAGTGGCAACTATTGATTATTTACTCAATCATTTCTCTCTACCTCTTCTCTCTCTCTGTATATATTTTTTATAATTTAAAAAATTGATATTTTTATTTTTTATGTATATGAGTGTATTGCCTGCATGTGTGTAAGTACACCCATGTTGTTCAGTGCCCATGGAGGTCAGAAGAGGGTGTTGGATCCCCTGAAACTGGAGTTGCAGATGGTTGTTAGCCACCATGTTGATGCTAGGAATCAAACTGGGGTCCTCTGTAAGAGCAGCCAGTGCTCTTAACTGTTGAGCCATCTTTCTACCCTTTTTAAAATAATTTTTAAGACAGGGTCTCCCTATAGCTCCAGCTGGCCTGGAACTCACTACGTAGGCCAGGCTGACCTTGATCTCATAGAGATCCACCTGCCTCTGCCTCCCAACTACTAGGATTAAAGGTGTGTGCCACCATGCCTAGCTATGTATATTTCTTTAATATATTAGATCATAATATATATGAAATTTTATGTCAGTTTTTTTGTTGTTATTGTTTTTTTTTTTTTTTTGGTTTTTTTGAGACAGGGTCTCCCTGTAGCCCCAGTTGTCCTGGAACTCACTACATAGACCAGGCTGTCCTGGAACTCAGTACGTAGACCAGGTTGGCCTTAAACTCACAGAGATCTGCCTGCCTCTGCCTCCCAAGTGCTGGGATTAAAAATGTGTGCCACCATGCCTGGCATGTCTTTTTAATATTTTATTTATTATATTTATGTGTATTCATGTATTGCCTGCATGTAGGTAAGGGCACCCGTGTTGTGCAGTGCCCACAGAGGTCAGAAGAGGCTGTCGGATCCCCTGGAACTGGAGTTATAGACAGTTGTTAGCTGCCATGTGGGTGCTGGGATTCGAACCCGGGTCTTCTGCAAGAAAAGCCAGTGTTCTTAACCACTGAGCCTTCTCTCCAGCCCCTAATCTGTCTTTTCATTGAAGTCCTCTGTGGTTTCTTGTTCAAATCTAATTATTGCCTGATTAATCTAATCTAATTAAGCCCCTTCATGATTTTACTATAGACTTAGAGAAAAGGGTGAATAAGTAATAGAAGGCATGGTTAGGAAATAGTTATCAGACCAGTTTGGTTAGAGTGGAGCATTGCAATCGGACAGCAATAGAAGGGGGCAGGGGAGGGAGGGCATGATTAGAGCCATGTTAAGAAGGGCTCCATGCCAAGTTTCAGCCTCTGGGGAATCGTATTGCCCGATGGCTATGACAGGCCCTAAGTTGAACTGCTCATTTCACATCCCATCTCTGTTCTTGGATATGTCAACTTGACCACAGGTCAGTGAGTCTTTCTAAGACTGCATTTTATCATCTAGAGAAAGGAAAGGCTAGAGGTATGACTTCTTCTTGGGGTGGTTGTGGAATTAAATAGGAGAAAGTGTGACCAGCATGCTCAGCACTGCACTTGGCAGGACACAAGCACTTGGTGCATATGAGCTCTTATTGTGATGAGGCAATAAAGCCTCCAAGAGCTCGGAGCAGGGAGAGGAGTCATCCAGTGACAAGGTTAACCTATTAAGGCAGCATGCATGTAGGGAGGGCAGACACAGGAGGCCCCTGGAAAGCAGGCACATCAATGTGGGTATGAAAGTAGATACCTGGTTAACTACTGGAGCAGAAAAGTACATCTGGAATTCAGATCAGAGCAGAGCCCAGTGAGGTCAGCTGGAAAGAGAAGGCTTAAAGGTTCTGGAGAGAACTGGTATTTATTGCAGAAAAAAAGTATTCAGGATATAGTGGTATGGGTTGTAAGTAGAAGCAAAGGCACTGTTAAGTGTGTCAGGTGCAAGATGGCTGTTGTGTTTTGCTTTGTTTTGAGATGGATTTTTACTATGTATCCCAGATTGGCCTGGAAGTTGCTATGTAGCCCAGGCTAGCCTTGAAGACAATCTCCTCGTGATTCTGCCTTCCAAATGCTGAGATGTTATATACCACTGTGCCTGACTCCAAGTACTTTTATTCATTTAATTTGTTTATTTTTATATGCATGAATGTTTTACCTACATTTATGTAAGTGTATCACATTTATACCTGGTGCCCACAGGGGCCAGAAGATGGCTTTGGATCCCCTAGAATTGGAATTGCAGATGACTCTGAGCCACCATGTTGGTTCTGGGAACTAAACCTGGGTCCTCTGTATGAGTAGTAACTGCTCTTACCCACTGAACCATATCTTCAGCCCACCAAGTTTTTTGTTTGTTTGTTTGATTTTTTTTTTTTTTTTTTGGTCTTTTTGAGACAGAGTCTAGAACTCACTATAGACCAGGCTGGCCTTGAACTCACGGAGATCCACCTGCCTCTGCCTCCTGAGTGCTGGGATTAAAAGCATGCACTATCACACCCGGCTCCACCAAGTATTTTTTAACTATTTTCAGACCACCAGGTTAAGGACTTTAAATTGATTCAATAAGGGGAGGGGGAGAGAGAGAGGTAGGTAGCAGATAAAGAGAAGGAGGCTACAGTTCCCCACACATACTCTTTCTCTCATGTATAGAGTACTCTTTTCAACCCTTAAGTAGAAGGCACAAGGACAGCCTCTACTTTCAGTACCACAGAGACTCTTGAGCAAAGCAATTACTTGTAAGAGAATTAATGAGGAAGAGGCAGTAAGAGAAAGTGAACTGACTGATTGTCCTGTGAGCCCAGTTCTTACCCTGCCCTTTTCTAATAAACTGGCAAGGTTGACACTGGGAATCAGCATGTATCCTTTTGAAAGCAGGATCTTTCAGTTAGTCTCTCTTGGAGCTGCTTTGCAAACCAGGAAGAAATGAGGTCAAGGCTCTTTTGTAGGCCTGCTGATCTGTTTGGCAGTATCTCCTATTCACCCTGGGCTTCTGAATTGCTTTTATCTGAGAAGAGGGAGCTCAGAGGATTCCATTGCTTGTCCCTTACCTTTGTATTATTTCTTATGATTTATTATTTATTTAATTTTTTATGTATATGAGTGTTTTGCTTGCATGTATGTATGTGTACCATGTGTGTGCCTACTGCCCACAGAGCCTAGAAGAAGGTGTCGTAGCCCCTAGAACTGGAGTTACATGTAGATAGCTGTGAACTGCCATGTGGGTACTGGGAATTGAAAAAAGTCTTCTGTAAGACCAGCAAGTACTTTTAATTGCTGGGCCATCTCTTTAGCCCCCTATTATGTCTTTAAGGGGTCAAAAGCTTGAGAGATCCTCACTGCCATTGGAATCAGATAAAGAAGAGGAGAGAGGCTCAGAAGACCCCAAGGATAGATTACAAAATTTGAACCATCTTGATGCTTGCAAAAAAAAAAAAACCCTCTGTTTCTCAAGCTTAATATTGGCAGGCTCTAAGAGTGTCTGCCTCATTCCAAGTAGCCAGAATGCCAAGGAGAACATATGGTGGTCCTGGAGTGTCTGTCTCGGGCACTGACTAGAGGTGGTGATACATATGCTTTGGTGGGGTGAGCTCTGGGAATTCATTGTAGGCAAACAGAAGAGACAGCTTATCTGCAGTTAAGGGTCGTTCAAGGGAGAGCTGAAATGCAGGCATGGGAACAGGGTAGCCTGGGATGCCAGCAGGGGCCAGATCTCCCAGGCGTTTTGAATCATGGTCAGGAGTTCAGACTTGCCCTGGAGGATCTGGACAGGAGGGGCAAGGAGGAGCAGAGGTTGGTGGAGGGTTGGCTTGTGCATTCTTTGCCTGTTGTGGAGGAAGAAGTTGTAGGTGGCCCAGGTGTACAGGCTTCAGGGTCAGCACCTATTTGAAGGTGGGAACACTGAGCAAGGGACCCTGGGCTGAAAAAGTAGCTTTCTGGAATTAAGGAACAAAATGGTATCCAGGACTGTGCTAATGGAAAGCCTAGCTACCCAGTGACTTGCTTACTCATCAGCTCTAGCTGACATGTGAGTTTCTTCATGTCTAGATACTCTGGGTCTAGGCCAGGCCTGCAGGCTTATTAATATCATGCTGTAACCCACATATACAAAGCAGGAGAGACACAAAGGTAGGCAGGCAGAGTCAGAGACACTGAGAAGACTCCTCTCCCCAGATAGTCTCTTTGTCCTACCCTTGGCCACACCCCCTTTAGAATTCACCCTTTGCTCAGCTTGAACAGGACTGCAGTCTAAGGGTTATCTGGCATTCATGCAAATACCAGACCTCCTCAGGGGCAGGGGGTTCAGAGCATCTGGCCAGCAGCTGGAGAGGAGAAGATTGTAGTGAGATGAAGGGTCCCCACCTCTTAAGGGCATTGGTATTTCTCATCATCATCCCCCCAGCTAGCTGTGATTCTCTTCCCTCTCTTCCTCCCTCAACATTTGGACAGAGGAACACTGGGTTTCTGTTCCAGCTACCATATGCTTACCCCACACACACACAGCAGCAGCAGTTGGAGAATAGTAAACACTGGGCGATGGGCACCATCTCAATGGAACTGTCCCTCTTTTGCCTCCTGTTTGGAATAGGGTACATTGGGATGGTAGTGTGTTCAAAAGCAAAGAGTGAGATGATTTCCAGAGAAATTTCTCCCTGGACTCTTCTCACATTTTTGGAGGTGTGGCCTGACAAGAATCCTGAATTATTGTATCTAGGTTTATTGAGCAAAGGGATCATAGTTCCTACCGTTCCTGGGTGACAGAACTCCCACTTCCAAAGCCAGTGCTGTGATAGGAAGCACGGTGCCCAAGTTTGATTACTCCCTGGGGATATCAGAACTAGCTGGTTTGATGAGGACTAGTCCTTTACATAACTCAGAGGTACTTTAAAAGTTAAATTGTGCTGAATAACTTATTTTCCCAACTCTAGGGAAGTTTTTAAACTAGGCCAAAGCTCAGTGCCAGCTGGGACTGAGTCTAGTACTCATCCTAGGTCTTCCCCACACAAGCTTAGGGAAAGGGAGAAAGGTCACAGAACATGCTGCCAATCATTTATAATGTGTTCTCTCCACCTCTCCCAACCTCTCCCCACTTCCTACCTTTTCCTTCTCTTTCTAGGAAACATCTTTATCCAGCAGCCAAGTTACTATAATGACCTGGATGAAACCATCCCTACCATTCTTCAGGTACCAGCTCTTAGCCCTTTCCCAGGAGGTCCCTTCCCCAACTTGATGATGTCTTTTGACTCTGTTTGAAGAACCCAGGGAAAAATGTTTGTCGTCCACCCCCTCTCTAGACTCAAAGCAGAGCAGAGCAGAGTAGTAAAGTACTAACCTAACGTGCAAATCCCATGGGTTCAGTCCTTAGCAGGAGAGAAAGAAAAGAGGGAAGAAGGAGAGAAAGAGAGAACCCATCTCCCCAGATAGTCTTTGTCCTACCCTTGACCACACCCCTTTGAGTTCACCCTTTGCCCCTCTTGAACAGGACTAAACTCTAAGGGTTGTCTGGCACTCATGCAAAAAAGAATTTGACTTGCGTCTTATGTTATTTACCAAGAGCCATATGTCTCCAAGGGTTATCCCTTTCAGAGACCTGTATTTCCCAAATAGGGACTTTGAAGGTTTTCAAAACGAGTTCATGAAAGAATAATGTTCATTGTAGAAAATAAGAGAAATGTTAAAAACCAGAAAGAAGTGAGACATGGTGGCTCATGCCTGTATTCCCAGCTCTTGGGAGATTAAGACAGGAGATTGTCTTGAATTTGAGGCTAGTCTAGGTTATATCACAAGACCCTATCTCAAAAAAAAGCAAAACAAAACAAAAAAACAAAAATAAAAAGTCATAAAGAATATTACTATTACCCTGTAATTCCATGATAAAGAGATTTCCCCCCCCATACTTGTTTTAAGTAAATTTTGTGGTAGTTATATGCTAGCCTAATTAAAGACAATATAGACTGGCAAGATGGCTCAACAGTAAAGGTACCTGCCACCAAGCCCAAGGAGTTAAATCTCTAGAACCCACATGGTAGAAGAAGAGAATGAAATCCTATAAATTCTCCTCTGACTTCCACATAGGTGCCCATGCACATAACACACACATATACTGCACCTCCACAATAAATAAATAAATAAATAAATAAATAAATAAATAAATAAATAATTGACACCAGTATCTTGTTTAGTTTTATGACAGGTTCTGTTTTCCATTCACTGTTGACTTGTCTTTTGTTATAACGAAGCTCCCATAATCTCTGAGTGTGGTAGCATATGCCTGAAATCTGTGTACTTGGGACAGAGAGGCAGGAGGATTAGGAGTTCAAGATTGTCCTTGGCTACATAGTGAGATCAAAGAGAGTCTGGCCTATACGAGACTGTGTGTGTGTGTGTGTGTGTGTGTGTGTGTGTGTGTGTGTGTGTTTGTGTGTATTCTATACATAAGTAGCCATCTACAAAGCAATTTAAAAGACTATTCTATATTGCTGAAGGTATTTCTTTGATGTTCATTACCATATATTTGCTTAGTCTATCCAGTCAAGTCATAGATGCAGGATTGTTGGCACTTCATATTTTATATGCTACTTGTGTGTGTGTGAGTGTGTGTGTGTGTGTTATATACATAAGCAGCCATCTACAAAGCAATTTAAAAGACTATTCTGTATTGCTGAAGGTGTTTCTTAGATGTTCATTACTATATATTTGCTCAGTCTATTCAGTCAAGTCATAGATGCAGGATTGTTGGGACTTCATATTTTATATGCTAGCTCTGTGTGTGTGTGTGTGTGTGTGTGTGTGTGTGTGTGTGTG